AACGCTTTGTCGTATAAATAGATTGCTGCGGTCGTTACGTGATTCAGATTTAGACTTCAGTTAAGAATTTTGAAATTTTGCAAATGCATAGGGTTTTTTCAATAAATTAGCAATATTTCGAGAAAACATTAGATGAAATACAAAAAGTAGACTGGCTTCGTGAGATTATTACGAGGTGGCAAAAAATTCGTTATCAGAAGTCAATTAAACGTTTCCGTTCTGTAATTCATTAAAGTTGGGTGGCCAAGAATTAAAAATGAGCTTGCAAAAGTTATTGAGTACCCTACAATCAATCATCCATTTCAAATCCACAAATGATCGAAAAGAGTTCATTGAGATATACTGTCGAAGAAAAAGATGCTGCAAATAATTTTCAAAATTTGGAATCTGAAGCTGTTAGAAGGAAAGGAACAACTTCCCAAAGATCACAGAAGTGGCAGGCTGACAAAAATGAGGTGTTACTGCCAAATTTTCCCTTGAGAACAGAGACACTCACTTCAGTGAGACATGAACTATTCTTATTATTATGACGTCCTCATCTCCGTTACACATGCACTCAGAATAATGTTAGGATCAAACGTACCTACTGCACCGCCCAACTAGCAGTGTGCGATGTATGTACATATCATGTCTGACTCATGGTTAGTGAACGAGTTGCTAATGAATGAATCGGTTGCGATTCACTTTGCCGACGAGTTCATTTATATCCCACTGATTGACATATGTAATATCTTATAGCTAGTTACTTACCGTTCAAGAGTTGAGTTATGCACAAGAGTAGTCTAAATGTCATGTGTAAAAAGTCGTTTTTGTATGTGCTACAGATCTGCAGGAAGTTTTATCTGACCCTTTATTTCACCGCAGTGCTCTAACATTAATTGCTTATTCCAGTAGTTTAATTGATGATGCCTGTTTTGATTTCATGATCTCTGTGTAACCAACGGTTTTCAATTTAAGCTGTTCATTCTTGTTATCGTTACGTATAGCGAGTAATCTCGATGGGCTCAAAAGATGTATTGAGGAAAATTACGCACGTAATTTTTGATGTTGACGGGTTGCTAGTCGATTCGGAAGGAATTTATACAACTGTGAATGAAAAACTCCTCCAAAGCTATGATCGAAAATTTACTATGGATATGAAAAATCACATGATGGGAATGCGGAAAGCAGATGCTGTGAAGTGGTTGCTTTCTACTGTTTGTCTTTCTATTTAATGCTGTTTCACAAGTTTTATCGATATTTGACTTCCGATAATTATGTTTCGCTTCTTTTAAGTCTTTTAATTGATGTCAGTGCAGAATTGAAGTTGTTGCTTTCTATTACTGAGTAAAATTGACAAATTGCTGCACTTACAGTTGAAAGCATGGCAGTCAAGTTTTTGTTTACTTAAAGTATTGTATTAATTGTTGTTAGGTAAGGCAGAAGGCGACACTCTGCTTCTTATTGCAATTTTTTTCTTCATTTGTATTGATTTATATCTTCAGGTTGGATTAATGGATAAAGTATCTGTCGAGGAATATGACAAAAGTTATGATCATTTACTAGCCGCAGCATTGCCGAATTGTGAACTGATGCCTGGTGCATTACGTTTAGTTCGACATTTAAATGCTCATAATGTACCAATCGCACTCTGTACTGGTTCAAATAGTGTTGAGTTCAATGCCAAAATGATAAATCATAAAGAACTTCTGGAACTCTTTCCTCTCCGTGTAAATCTGGCTCACTGTTCTTGATTTAAACTATTTCCTATTCATTATCATTTGTATAACTAAAGTTAGTTAAATTGTATGTAACGCTACCAGCTATGTTAAAAGCTTTAGTTGTTCTTTTAGTGAATATACTAAAAGGACGAGGATAATGAAGTTTCTGATCTAACGTTGCGATGCTTACTGTGGATGAAAAAGATTTTGCATTTCGCTTTTGATTGCAGGTACTTATCGGTGATGATATGTCAATAAAACGGAGTAAGCCAGCTCCAGATGGATTTCTTGCTGCAATGAATCTTTTTGCAAAAAGGCCTGCGGAAACTGCGAATGTGCTTGTTTTTGAAGATTCTGTTAATGGTGTTCGAGCTGCTGTAGCAGCTGGCATGAATGTAATAATGGTACCAGACTTAACTAATACCAAACCTCCTGAGGACTGCATTGACAAAATAGCATATGTTTTGAAAAGCTTAGAAGATTTCATACCCGAAAGTGTTGGTTTACCGCCATATTAGATTGTTCTCATTATACCATTAAAGTTCCTTCATTTTTTCTTTTCATTTTATTATAATAACTATCTGTTTATTTCTTGGAATCTATATTCATTGTGAAGATGAGATGTAATAGTTTATTAATCTATCCCTCATACATTTCTTAGTGTCGGAAGCTTTTGATTATTTGTTTTTAAATATTTGATTCTAGTGTTATTCGTTTTTAATCCATTTTTAATGTGGATTTTGTTTGAAAATTTAGTAATGGCAGGCATGAAATAATTTCTGTCGTTTACTGCATTTTATAGACAGCATTCGTGTGCAATAACATATTTTATTGGAATCCATGGTACATGTACTCTTCATTTTAATATGCGTGTTTGAAACTGTTGATTGCTGCATAATTCTGTTCGGTAAATCATGCTGTGTAACTAAGTTACAATTTTTGGGTGCCGACCAAATCACCTCGACTTCATATAATTTACTTTGCAGGGTTATGAGTGTCATTCGTATTATATCATGTTCATATTGCGCCAACAGATTGCCATCAGATATTGATTCAGGTCAGGCCGTATTCATTGTAAAATATGTGGTAGGCTAAAGCGCTATGGAAAGTAGGATTCAGAACGAATCTGTGAATTGTAAGTTGCATTATGCAGAGCTAAAATATGTAAACTTCTTGTTTGTTGTTTTCCGATAAATATGGTGGTTTTTTTAAATAAATCAGATATCACTCGTTAAGAATGATCGTTCGATTAAGGAGCTACGCAAAGGAAACTTTTCAGTTGTACGCCGTGAATGGTAACTTTGCCAAATGTATGAAACGTTAGAATATTAGTGGGAATTTTGATTATATCTTAAAAACTAGATACTGTCTTTCTGAATCACATTGCTCAGCATTTGAAGAATCGAACATTCAAATAGGAGCATGAAGTATATGAAACATTCGAGTTTGGTATGAAAGTCGAAAAAGATCTATTTGATACAATACAGTTACAGCACTTTCATAAATATTAAGACTTAAAGTGGTATTTTGGTTAGAGCGATTATTCACTTCATTACGTTTTCTGTGCAACGAAACACTGCAAAAAGTATTTTGCCCAAGGTCGTTAACAGTGCGTAAACACATTGCGTTATGTTCATCTGAAGAATATGAAGAGAATCTCTGTGTGCATCCCCGATTATAAGTTTTTTTAACTTTCAAACTCATTATCTTTTACTTACGCACCTTTGTGATATTTTCAGCATTAAGTTCGTTTTTTGATATTTATTAAAAAGTTGGAAAAAAAGCTGCCGATAAGGACAAGAGTACATGCACTTACTTTTAAATCAGTAAAATTATTTATGCAAATGTAAATCATGGACAGGTTAGTAAGAAAAAATAGAAGGAAAAGAATTGAACTTGCATAAGCGTTTATGTCACTCATCACTTTTCATTTGCTTAATCTCTTCAGTTTCTGATTTCTTCATTGTGTGCATTTGATAGTTGAAAGCGCAGAATTATTGATTACTGCTAAAGAGATGCATCATTTAACTCTGCTGGATCTGTTATCGATGACTAGTCAAGATGAAACTAGCTTAGGCTGGCAGTGGATCAGCTGCAGCGCATATTTCATTTGTTTCTCCCTGCGAGCTTTGCTTTCTTTATTTTTCTAGTTTTCTGTTCCTCGACTTTGTCATATGAACACTTCAGAAAATAACGATATATGCGACGTAAGTTTTAAATATTCAAATTTTTTCGGAGAGAACCAGTTTTAGGTTCACAAATAAGAAAATGGCTGCAAAAACAAGTTCACAACTTTGCTTTAACATGATTATTATTACGTTACACGGATTTATTATCTCATACGTTAGCACTTCATTAACTAACTCTTAGGAGGCTGTAATAGTTCAGGGAAAGAAGTAATTCTTAGCATATGGAAGTTTACATCTCTTAATCTTCTCTCTCTTCTCTTAGTTTTCTTTTCTTTAGTTTACTTCCATGTAATTACGCTATTTTTTAGGCCACACAGATTGATATATGAACCATTCATAGAAGCCTTTATCATCATTTTATTTTCTTATAATATTTTTATTGAACTAACTACCTTGTTTGCAAGAATGCTTGATATAGTAGAGTAGAGGCATAAATGCAGTGAATATAAAATGATGATAATTTTGGTATTTGGAAATTTTTGACAATGGCATTTTTTTCATTCTATCGACCGGAGAAAATGCAGTCAAAGCTGTGTAAAAATTTCTACATCTTATGGAAGATTCAAAGAGCTCTTTCAACTTGAAAAATTTATTTCTCTCTGCTGACACTTTCTTTCCAATAATTTATGTAGATACAACTGCTAAATACAAATTGATCAGATGACAGCATTTATTGAATCTATGGATCTAAACTTTGTAGGAGGCGTCGAATTTTTTCACAGATGCATTCGCGAAAAAATTTAGACAGCACTTAAATGCAATATAATAACTTTATTTATATAATTCAGGATTTACTTTTTTGTATATTTTGTCGTGATTCAGCGATCAAGCTCTGTACAGTATCAGGAAATGTTCAAATGAAGTAAATGAAATTATGATTTCGAGTTTTTGGAATAAGATAAGGAAAATAAAGCCAGATATTCAGATTCGTTAACTGGAGTCAGGATGCAGTAGTCTTCCCTGTTTTTCTTTCCAGATGATTAGCTTGAAGCAATCGCTAAATATAACTCATGTGATTTTTGATATGGATGGTTTACTTATCAATACTGAAGTTGTGTTTTCGAAAGTAAACCAATTCTTACTTTCAAAATATAATAAGGAATTTACTTCTCAGTTGCGGAGTCTGGTAACAGGGATGCCAAAGAAGCCAGCTGTAGAACGCATATTGGAGCATGTTTGTCTTTTCTTAAATTCTTGAAATCATTATGACATACATAATTTGTATGTCATTCCGACCATTAGATAGTTCGGAACTTATGAATATATATGGTACTGTTAGTCTGTGATCAATGGAATCATTGCACTAGATTTTTCCTCATACAGTTTTCGAAAAATTTATCTAAGGTGTTTGTACAAAGCTATACTTCTTAAAGTATGCAATTTTTTCAGGAAGGATTATTGGGAAAAGTTGATGTCGATGATTACTGTAAACAGTATGATGAAATTGCGAAAGGAATGTTACCAAACTGTCCATTAATGCCTGGCGCATTGAAACTTGTACAGCATTTGAAATCACATCATATACCGATGGCTATATGTACTGGTGCTACCAAAAAGGAATTTGAGCTTAAAACTCGCAGTCATAAAGAGCTGATTGATTTGGTACCTGTGAAGGTGCGTTTTGATTTGATATCGTTATCATATAATGCTATGCGCACCCAATAATTCATTAAGTCACAAGTTCTGCATGTCACCCGTATTATGTTGTACGTTAGTCTCTTGATAAATCTGTAAATCTTTTTAGAAGTTCAGTTTTATTGTGCGTACAAACGAATGTGACTATGAAATCGAATAACTAATTGAGTTATATTTTACAGCTTTTCTCAGGAGATGATCCCGATGTTAAACAAGGAAAACCTGCCCCAGACCCATACCTAGTTACAATGAATCGGTTTGCTGAAAAACCTGAGAATCCATTGAATGTTCTTGTGTTTGAAGATGCTACTAATGGTGTGCGTTCAGCTTTAGCAGCTGGAATGGCTGTTATTATGATACCAGATTTAAGTTATATGATTGTGCCAAATGAATTGAAAAGCAAAATTCTTTTTGTACACAAAAGTTTAGAAGAATTCAAACCGGAAACTGTTGGTTTACCACCCTATTCTGCAAACAGTAATAAGTTGAGTTAATTTGTAAATTTATATAATTAAACTTCGCCTTATCTTTTACGAGTTTTGCAAAGATTTTGAAAATTTTGTAAAGAGTAGAATAAAGTAATAAAAGAAAGCACAGTACCTTTACCTGATTGCACATACGCTGAAACGAGATACAGTTGTATGACCTTGTTTTGGGCAAGTCAGCACATTGATATATATGCAGTACGAACTATTCCACTGAATAAATTTTTCTTTCATTATAAACATTACTCATTATATCACTGTTGAGTCATTCAACTTTGAACTTTGTTGGTCGCTTGATGAATCATTTTTTACTTTTTTCTCAGAAGAGTACTTTCGATCTTTGCATACTAAAGCATTGCATCTTGGAAGTGCCTTTTGTTACTATATAAATACGCGAAATGAGGTGAAGTAATATGATTTATTATGTAGGTAGTGGATATAATTCTTGTTTATGATTGCAAGAGTCATTAATATTGTTGCTTCTAATTCTGTGTTTAGGTTTGAAGTTTCGGATGTTGAAGAGAATTGGAATTCAAAAGGCGAGCAAAATCTCATGATGGAAAGTTTAAATGATGACGACATTCGTTTTTTAAATCGAGCGTTTGAAGTAGCGGAGGATGCAGTTCGGTACAATGAGGTACCGGTTGGTTGTATTTTTGTTTTCGAAGGAGTAGAAATTGCGTGTGGGAGAAATGATGTTAACCGTACGAGGAATCCAACGTGTCACGCTGAAATGGTTGCTCTTAGCATGATGCAGAAATGGTGTATAAATAATAAACATGAATTTAGTGATGTAATACGTCATACGACATTGTATGTAACGCTAGAACCTTGTGTTATGTGTGCATCTGCATTATACCATTTACAATTGAAAAGGATACTTTATGGTGCCCCAAATGAGCGTTTCGGTGGATTGTGCAGCGTTGGATCTAGGGAAAAATATGCAGCTGAACATGTTATTGAAATTGTGCCAGATCTTGCTGTTGATCGGGCTATAAAGTTATTAAAAGAATTCTATGAGAAGCAAAATCCGTTTTGTCCAGAAGAGAAACGAAAACAGAAAGTATCTAAAAGGTCACAAGACAGCAGAAGTTGATCAAATGGCGTTACGTTTTGTCAGAGCTTTGTTTTATTTCTAGATCTAAAACTTTTGTCGATTAGAATGGCAGTTCTTTATGTAATTATCAATTTGCTAGATTTTATTTGTAATGATGCCTGACCTCTTCCTTATTGGAATATTAGCATTCCATTGTTTGGGAGATTTTTTTCAATGTTACAGAGTTTATTTAGATCGTGAAAGGGATTTTTGTGACTGATTTGTAACATACTTTTCATCTTTCTCTTCTTTTGGCGATGAAAACTTGTAGAAAATAATTCAACCTTGTGTTATTTGTAGAATAACTATTGTGTTGATGGAAGAATGTACTTGAAGAACCATAGAAATCGATCATTGTAGAATAATTATTGACTTAATGATAATTCTCTACTATCAGTGCACGTACGTACGTACACTTTGATGCTTCTGCTTTTGTTTGCAACGCCCATTTTGTTTCTTTTCTCAGAAATTTGGCGATCGTTTTTGTGTTACCATGCAGCGTATATTATTGCAGTATAAAATAAACACCTTCTAACTTGTAATCTCTGTTTCGGAAAGGTTATATTGCACCCACAGTTTATTGTTATCGAATTAGCTTAACAAACATTGCTTGTAACAGAAAATTGTTTTGCCATCTTCATTGGTGACAGTTGCTAGGAACGATCGTAGTACTCATCGTTATCGTGCGGCTTTAACAAGTGCAAAGTTGTTTATGAGTACATCACTAGTTTCAAATTCTTATCCTAGAAACAAAGGGACCTGCGTTTTTTAAACAACTTCCCTGATCTCGTAGTTGGTTTACATTAATTAACAGCTGACTCTGTACTTTGTGTAAATTCCTTTTGACCAGATCGATGCGATAGTTTTTACATCCTCTTTTGGACATCTTGCAGGCATTCATGATTCTCGTAAGTTTTTCATGCCCCATAATTTCTGAGATGCATTCCAGTGCTTGACTTACGTCCGTGTTTTGATGAAAACTGCATTGCTTTCGTATTAGTCATGGAACTAAATGCTACCAACAATTGTTTCACTTTATTTCTTGCAAGTACCAGCTTTTATGAACAGTCTAGCAGAAATTCCCTTTAAGTCAGTTATTTCTCTTTATAATTTACATAATTCTAGATCTCCGTCTGAAATACATTGGATCCAATTAGCGTGAACGGTGTTGAAATGAATGCTGAAACTGAGAAAATATCGTCGTCTAGTAAACGATTAAGAGTATTGATTTCCGAAGGAGATTTAGTATGTTTATGTTTGTTGTTTAGTACTAAATATTTGCTTTTTCGATTGGTCAAGTGAGATTTTCGCTGGTTCTATTTAAGTCTGAAGGTTTAATTTTTGCAAAAGCAGTTTCTTGTGTATTGGTATTGACTGCTATTATCAGGTAATTTCATTTGTTTTTATGCTTCTGCAAAGGAGTGAGAATGACCATTGTAGTCCTAGTTTCATTGTTTCCTTTGTCACAAAAGTTGCCGTTTGGACTCTATTCGATTTAAAGTTTTACATCCATTACCTTTGTAATTTTTAGACGAAAATATCTGAACCGCTTTGCAGTTTTGCGTAAATCGTTGTGGCTTTTATGGTACGCCACAATGGAAGGGCAGATGTTCAAAATGTTGGCGAGTTTATCAAATGGAAGAAAAGAAAATACAGGATTATACCAAGAATAGGTCTGCTATTGTTACATTTAATGTCATGAACTGGAAATTACTATACTTTGAAGTGTAATTGGCGCTTCAAATTAACTAGAAACTTCAAACTGCAAAGTTTAATTACTTTTCTTTTTGCAGCTTCTCATTAAAATGAAGATATAAATCCTGAACACTGAATTACTAAGGCTAAAATCTAAACAAACTTCCTTTTATTCCATGATCTAATTAAAGACCAGCTTTCTTGAGTTCATTATCATACGTCGTCACTTATTTGAGGATATATGTGTTTTCTTATTGTTTTTCAAAGGTTCCAAATGCTTAGAGAAGCTAAGCACATATGTGAGAAGTATTTGATGGAACTCAAATCGTTTTTTGTTTAGAAGTGTTGTTTCAGGGAACTTTTAAGTTTCGAAAAATTCGAAGGTCGTCGCAGATTATCGACTGAAAGTCGGTCGTTAACGTTAAAATCAATTCTTCGAAAATCGCCCTCGATGTCGATCAGCTCAAATTCTTTTCAAGGTTTACTGGAAATTTTGGTTCATTGTTTGATTGCATTTTCAGAGATTTAAGAGTAAATTTGTTTTAAAATTTATAGTTCATTTAGAAACAGTATGTTCACCAGCAGTTGCATCACAATCAATACTATCATCTCCTATTACATCGTCAAGGTCATTTATATGTTATTGTCACTGTTCTGTGTGCATGTTGCCTGTTCACTTTTTTTTTGAATGTTTATTATGATAAGGCTTGTAAAATGAGAATCACATGCATGTTATATCTTTCTCACTGATGTATTCAGCCTTTTATAATCACAAAGAGCCATAATCTTAGGAGATGAAAAGTCTATTATTTTTATAATTTTCTTTAAGTCGAAGAAATACTAATGATTTTATTGTATATTGCAATATATTCATATTATTTGAAAAGTTTAACATTGAAATTATAGACAACGTCATGTGAGTGAAGAAAGTATATCTGCTAGTAATCGTTTTCATGAGTTTCTTCAAAGTAATCTTTCTCAAGAAGCAGCTAATGAAGTGCTCCAACAAACATATCATGCAGTTGATAAAATTTTGGAAGTGCGTTTAAGCTCGAAAGACAAATTGTGTTTTGGTGGTGAAATTCTTTATTCAGAGCAGTTTTAAATAATATCCAGCTTTGAAATAAAAGTAATTTGAGAATGCTTCAACATTACTATGAGTGTTTCCATTTTCCCTTGTTAATTGCTCCTCACTCACCAATAAACCGTGAAAGGGATTATAGTTTCTTTCCCAAACACTTTTAATGAATAATTTGCATGATTTATTTAAATTTCAGCAGCAGAACGTCAACATGGATGATCTTTCAGCTATGGTGCAGCATTTCTATCAAGTATTGGCAGATAAAATGCGTCATAATCCGTTTGTCAATAGTAATTTTTTATAGAAAGCAAGTGCAAGTGATGAAATTCTCGTTTCATCGAGAATTTTATGACTTTCAAAATTTGATTAATTATTTTAATCATATCCAAGAATATTTATATAAAATGTTTGCAAATTCAGAGGTCAGTGTCGCTGTAGAAGAAGTAATGGCTGAAGTAGAACAGTATGTGTGCGTGAGGGCTTACAGTACGCTGTTTTGTGCCAGGTCTTTTTATATTTGAAATTTATTCTTGTTGAAACTATCTACCCATAACTATCCTTTCATATTTTTTGGATATTAAATGTTGATGACTTTCTTTTTTTAACACACTAAATGTTGTCTATCTAGAGCAGATGAAGAAAGTGCAGATTTATCATTGCAAGACAGAATTCGGTCACTAAATTGGGTTACTGCTGGTTTTTTGGAAACCACGTTGGATTTCAGTCAAGAAAAGGTACCTAATTTGGATATACATTATTATTTTTCGTTAGATTATCTTTAATATTCTTTTACTGGAAGGTTCGCGACAAATTGGATGAGGCAATTACCGAAATTATTGATTTAAATAGTCATCGAGGAGCTGCAGAAAAAATGCAGTGTCTAGTTCGTTGCTCAAAAATGATCTTTGAAGCTCTGAAAGAAAGTCGATCCGGTATGTTTTCTAATTGGTAAATTAGTTTGTGATTTTCATTAAGTGTCCTTAGCACATGCTGTTACTTATGATACAAGTTTTTATCTTATTGCGCTCTTTAAATTTTTTCATTATTTTATTTTTACGTGTTATCAATTAAGTTTCTAAATATTCCAGAAAAAGTTTTTCTACATGGGATAAGGCTGTCGATTAACTAATTTTTACTTGAATGTAATCAAAAAGACTTTTGCGATCTTTTTGATCAGCATTTTATTTTTTCCAATGATCGAAATGTGTTTTTAAATTGCACTTTTTAAGGGGCTCCTGCTGGTGCTGATGAATATCTGCCAGTACTTATTTTCGTAATTTTGAAAGGAAACCCTCCGCTTATTTTATCTAATATTAAATTTGTTAGCCGTTTCGCTTTACCTACCAGAGTTATGAGCGGGGAGTCAGGTTTTTCTTGTTTTGTTCATTATAACTTCATTCAATTGAAAAAGTGGCATATGGAATTTTTTTTGATTTTTAAAATTTTCTTATTTGAAGGAAAATTTTATTTAGCATTTATAAAAAATTCTTCTCTGTTGAAGACTAAATTATCAAATCTAGATATTGCTTTCAAAGAAATTTTCTTTTCTGCAAATGAAGTTGCAGGTTATTATTTTACGAATGTAAGTTGTGCGCTGCAGTTCATACAAAATATGAATGCTGATACTTTAAAAATGCCTAAAGAAGAATTTGAAGCATATACTTCTGGTAGTCAAGTGCCACCATTGAATACGATGAATATGGGATGTAACCAGGTACCAATCCCATATTTAAAATATATTTATTTCACAGAAGTATATCAATTCATTGATTCTTATAGAGATTGATATATAAAATTTTTCTTAGAGTAGATATAATTTGATACGTTTCTATGTCCTTTGTTTTTTGAAATGTTAATTGTTTACTTTTTGAGTCCATCTCATGTGAATTATTTTGATCAGTCAATCAGAATAATGGAGAATTCATTGGCACAAGTGAAACAACTGCTCGAAATGCAAGGTGGACTCAAGGAGCAAATAAAAGCTCTTGAATTGCGTGTGAAAAAGTGATGCTTTAAATGACTTATACCATTTTGAGGAATTAAATTTAGAATTCTGGCTAGAGAAAAGAACTAGCTTATTTTGCAGGGAAACAGATGACTTGTTAAGAGAAGTAGAAGAAATTTTGAATGCATATCCAACAAAAGAGCTGAAGCATCTAATCGAACAAATCACGATTGAGGAAGCAGAATTATGGGAATTCTCGGTATCATCAACAGATTTGCAGATCGGTGCTTCACATTCTTTTCAAGACAGTGAGTCTGGAAACGATGAAAATACAGGTACTTCGGAAGGATATTGTAAAAGAAACTTCGTGTTTGCTGGATTTCAGCAAAAGTTAATCAGTATTATTTTTTAATTTTTAATTAAAGTTTGCCAGCAAATCGGACGCTAATATCGCTTAAAAAAGTTGAACATGATTGTTTTTTTGCTCATTCTAATAATGGGATTCTATATTTAACTTAGTGATATTAACTTTCAACTAAGCTATCTAAATGGTTTCAATTGCTGATTTCCATCTTATTTTTTATAAACCTTCACCGTGCTAATATTTCGGGGCTTTTAGAGTTTTCCTAAAAAATTTAGTTTTATAGCTCTTTTAATTTTCAACTTCCAGACGAAAAAGAAGAGAGGAAGTTCGACGATGTGTTCTTTTCTCTCGGTATGGATAGTGGAGGAGACTTTGTTGATGGTGTAGTTAATTGTATAAAAGATAAACTCCCTCTCGATGAATGACTTTGTTCTAATATGTTCATATGTAGTGGATTTGAGTTATGATTTATTTCAGCTTATATACTTTTCATTGTAGTCAAATTTCAACGTAAAATAGTACTAGTAATGAATTGGATTGTAACGAAAAATTGTGATGTGAACAATAAACAAATAGCGTTTAACGTTAGAATAAGCTAGTTAATCATAATCATCTTCGATGTTGAAGAATGCTCCCAGTGCAGGGAAGTGAACTGCTGAAAAACCGTTTGTTCCACCGACAGATGCAGCAGGAACAGCCCAATGACCACCCCAATAGATTTGTCCGTTCAACCAATCCGCAGTTACAGAATCTGGTCTGTAATAGAATTTGTTGGAGTGGTCTCGGTTGTGTGGATTTGATGGGTTCGCTTCCCACAAACCTGCAAGCTGCAGCGTTGTAGAATTACAAAATGCATCTACATTAGGGACACTTTTGCCAAGCAAAGTGCCTCTATAAATCAGGAATTAACATGACAAAATGAATGATCAACAACGACTTCTGGTTTGATTTCATTCTGGGCAGTGGTCGCATTATTTTTCTCAGCAGAAAACTTCACTAGCTTTTCTTATAAATTTGACTTCGTAGCAAAACTTATGTGGTACATCTGGGGAAAGAGATTCTGCCTTTTTATGAGATACTCGTGTATATTCCACGAAAATAGAATTATGGTAAAGGCAAAGTGTACCAGGTTTTTGCCATGGTGATCGAGAATATAGTTGATTTGTTACCCGTCCACCAGAATCAGTAAGTTCATCGAATTTATGAATGTCTTCATCAGCTTCTGTATCCGATAGATATGCTCTACAACAGTTTGGAACGTGAGGACTTGCAATATGTTAGATTTAAAGAGTTAGATCTATAGTCACCTAGGCAATCGCATTCGGTGATCGTCGCCATGCCTAAGTGGAATATTGGGAATCGGTATGTTGAATGGGGTTCTCATGGAGTTCTTCAAAATGTCCGCTAATGTTACACCTTCCGTCTTTTTGCGATTATTCTTAGATCGTTCAAAAGGACTACGTTTCCGAGTAGCACGCAAGAAACGTCCCGAAAATTCATCCGTAAACGGTATTGGAATATCTCTTTTTTGTGGTTGCTGCCTGTTATTACGAGTAGCTTGACCAGCTGCAATATAACTAATATAGTGCGTCTTCAAGAGCCACTATTCTTTCTAATTTCATCATAAACCTATAATTTCGACCTAAGAACAGTAATATATATTAATGTCATAATGACATCACATTAAATGTGGAATCAATATGTGAATGAAGTTTTAAAATTCCTTTCCTTGTTTCTGCACATTGTTTGCCATAAATTTATAATTATTCAAGTTCATTAGACAAAAACATAAATGGGAGCATAATAAAAGGGCTTGTTTTGTTTGGATATTCGTCTTCCAAATTACTGTCAAAAAATATTCTCATCTATACATGCTATCAGCAAATCAAGTGCTTAGCTCGTGTTTTACTTCTGATACTTGTAGATTTACAGCATTATTGAAAGTCTTTTTGATAAAAATGATTATGATGAGCAGAGAAGACTCACGATTAACTTTGCCTTTCGACGATTTGCTGTGAATAAACTGTGATGCGTAATGGTATTGTTTGTATTTGGGGCAGAAGGAATACCAAATCCGACAAGTTTGCAGAAAAACTGGCATGGGAGGTGGATTGCAGAATTTTTGCACATATGGATATGCTAAGTCGCACTTGCATTCCGGTGTGCAATTGGGATCTTTCGTCCAGTCACAGTCAATTGTACACATGTTTTTCAGTTGGTTCTGTAATTTAGAACTTTGTATGTACGCATTGTTAATTGTTGTTTAAATTCCGAAAATACAAATCCTCGCAAATCATTTAATAATTTTACTAATAATTTGGTTATTAGTATCAAATTCACTTACTTTTTTTGCAGCTTCAATGAGTTGTTCGGGATGCATAAATGCTTTGAATACTTCATGTTTATTTGTTTTCTTACTGAGTTTCTGGAATGGATTCGGTGGTTTTACATAGGTCTCAATAGCAGAATTCAAATTTGTTTCGTGTTTTCGACCTTTTTTTGGAATGTTCTGCCTATAATTAACTTCATTCAGTGATGGATGCAACAATAAAAATTTCATGAAAACAACATGTATAATAGTAGTTTATTACTAAAGCTCAATATTATTACTGCACTGATAATAGATTCGATTTTGCTGAGCCAATTTTAAAAGTAATAATAATACATACTTATGCATTATTATTATTTTTTCGGTTCAGTTTCCATTCATTTTGGATAATATATCACTCGTTACTACTTTTATCATATACTAAATCGAAAAGCAACGAGAGCCGAAAAGTGTTAAATTACTTTGGTTGAGACAAATAATCTTACCAGCAGATTTTTTTGTACGTTTCGCAAAATTTTTCAGTACTCCCTCCATTTCTGGGCACGTACTTTTTTACACAGAAATAGTTGTAATTCTTGAAATATTTGTTGCAATAATTTTCAATCTCAGCTTTTTCTATTTCATCTGGTTCTTCTTCTTCCTCTTCCTTCTTTTGCTTCCGTTGCTGCTTTCATGTGCAATAAAAATTTATTCAATTTAGGAAATTAATTTAGTCGGAAATTACGGCAAAAGTTAGTAATTTACCACAAAGTAATTTGCATTGAATACACATTTACTTAAGCAATTTTTGTCCATGCAATGGAATTGTTTAAATAATTTGTAAAAGTCATTACCGATTCTTCTCTGGATTCTGAAGTTGTTTTGATCATTTCTTTCGGAAAATTGAGCAGTATTCTGAAGCAGGTAATTATGAAACAAACGCAAAATAAAATAACACAAAACTTTTAATCGACTTTTATTATAATTATTATAATTTTATTAATATTAACTGTTATTTGCAAACTGCTTTTGTAAAGTGTGATACATTTTGATTATGTTTGAAAAGTGGCGAATAAATGAAAAGCCGTTAATTCAAAAAGTATGAAAATTTTCAAAGATTATACTGCAACAGTTTTGTAATTTTTAAACTCATTCAACATTAAGCACACTTGATACAAAAACCGATGTAAGAACTTACTTAAATATATATCTGAGCAAAAATGGGCAGGCAAAAATAATTATTCATCTTCCTAACTCAACTAACTGATTAAGGAGACATGTAATTATGGCCTTTGCATTCTTCAGAGTAATGCCAAAAACTGAAGCAATTCATAAGATTGATTTGTTTGCACTCACATGACCTGAGTTTGCAAGTTTTTGCATATGTACTGGAAATTCTTTTTGTTTCATGCACAAAATCATTCTCTTGCTAACTACACTGTCAATGCTGAACTACGAGTTGATCAAATTTGATCACTATATTTTATCTATTTCATATTTCGGTTCAGTGTTTCAGGTAATTTTACTTACAACAAATTAAACATGTTGCATTCTTAAGAATTTGACAAAGTTTCTTGCAAGTTAGCGGCAGAATTTTTAGTGCATCACAACTGAAATGAACTCCTTTCTTGTAAATTTCAACATTTTAAATTCTCACAGCATTATTTGCAAACATTTCATGAATAGAACTTTTATTTGTGTGCATTTTAGATTCCAATTTCTCTCTGAATGTCGAGTAAATGAAGACCTACAAACCTTTTTAGTTTATCTGGGCAATCTTCTTTATAAACTCTGCAAAATTTTCCAGTTTTATTGTTGCCATCATCGTCATCATTGTCAACACAGTAATATAAAAAGTTTGCTTCATATCTTTCACAGTATTCTTTCGTCTGTTCTGCTAGATCCTCATCACTAGTATTTTCTAGAAGAGGAACATTCTGCTCGATGAATCCCTCAGCAGTACGTCCGGGATGCTTATTATCCATATCAATTTTCAATGGATTATTGTTTGACTGCTTATTTGTTTTGCTTCCGCTTGTTTCTTCTGGCTAATATTTAGAACTGACATTTTAAAGAGGTGAAAGTAAGTTCTGTTATAGAAAATATCAGTAATGAGGCGAAAATCAAAAAAATCAGTGATAATCTTTTTTTGAAAAAGAGGAACAGAACAGAAGTTGAAAGTAAATTTCTAGTGATATTAACCAGAAGCTCACTGGCACCTTTTTGCATTTTAGTTGATATTACTTGTTTCTTTATTAATTTTAAAAGAAGTTAAATAATAAATATTTACGTCAATTTCTGTATGCAAGACAGCATTCAATAACTGTAACAAACAGATATTATCGATTACCGTCTGTTTTCACTACAGCAAATAAAGTAATTGCTAAGGCGAAATTACCGATTTGTTAATTGTCTTTTGAGGGCATTTATTTTCATAATCGATGCAGTATGAATATAACTCTTCTTGAATTCCAGCTGGACGATCAAATGGTTCTTGACAGTAATGTCTGTAGCGTCTTTCTTCTTCATCACAAAATGTGTCGTCATCTGAAGACAAATCCCCTCGATTTGATGAACGGAATACTTCTTCCTGGGGCGTTGAATCGTGCAACTCGGACTCCATAGGCGATATCTTGTCCAAGGGTGAGAAATAATTGGATTGAGGAATCTGTAATCAAATTACTGTAATCTTTTATTATTCAAATTTGCATATTTCTAGAATTTGCATATGAGTTTGCACGTAGACATTTTATATGCATTTGAATAATAATGAACTAGAGCCAAATAAATTACTAAACAAAAGATTATTTCTTGTTAGTGCAAACTCAGTGCATCAATGGCATAAAAATAATCACTAGCTTAAATTTTTATGAATGAATTTCTAGAACAAATTACAGAGGTATTTTTTTACTGCTAGAAACTTATCGGAAACTGCCACGCTTACAACTGAATCCAAATGTTGGCCATTACTGTCGCTGTTGCCTTTACAGAATCTCAAGGATGGATTTTGCTGACAAGCTCGCTGAACAATATTGTCGAAAGATGCTGCAGTTAAAATTAA